TGTCATGAGGAATGTTGAATGCAGCACTGGTTCAAATTAGATGTTTGTGAAGTCAAAATACTAAGTTTATAGTTTCGAACAAATTAGAAACTCAAATTATCGATATTGACAAGCTATAATATAAAATAAGGTCTTATCTTTTCTATTTGCTAGGATATTACTCACATAATAAATCAAACACAGTGGCACCCCGCTCACCTTATTTTTGGAAATGCTCCCTTATATATACACTTACTTCTATATATGACATGAATAATCAATCAGAAGCTCAGAATGTCCCCCTAGTGGCATTCTCAGCCATTTTAATGGGTTGGAACCATTTCTTTCTTTTCAACCAATATTTCAACGAGGTAGGGTGCTCAAAATTTCAAATTTTGTAGACTACATAAAATGTATCTTAGTTATTTAGCTTGATAAATTATAGTGGAATTCTATGGTATTAATGTATTAATTTATGATTTTTTAGTTATTCAACTGTATATATAAAAACCTAAAAAAAATTATTTTGTTTCATAACCTCCACATGCAAATTTTTTAAAGGTTTAGCAACCTACGTCAAGCAGCAACCGAGTACAAAGGTTGTAACTAGAAAATATAATTGTTTGCTTTACTTCTTCAGTTACTGTTCTATGTTTTAAGAAAAATAAGTTTAAAACTTATTTCAAAACAGCAATAATCTATATACTTTTATAATGTATAATAATTTAAATGTGAATGTATTTTACAAAATACCAGTCTACTTAAACACAGCCAAGACAAGTTACTTTACACAGACCAAAGGTCAGTTTTATATTATTTGATACAGTAACACGAGTGCACGTGAGCTGCGTAATTGTAACTTCTGTATTGTTAGCCAGGCACCGCTGAAAGGTCAATATAATAAAAATAATAAATATATATATATATATATAAATGTATAATGTTATGAGATTTAAGCTATTTAGTCTAAACATTTATGTTTTCGTGTTATAATTTGTGTTCATTCTGGAATAAAAGAGGCATAATTTCTATTTATTTCCTAATGTTTTATAGTGGTTGCGAGATCGGTCAAATCTACCGAACCCATACAGAGATTAATTACTGAAAATAACAGATAAAATATAAAGTTTTTTCCCTAAGAAATGTTTGATAACTATTTCGACATTATAAAGATTTTGCAAGTGAAATTTCAAAATTTTCTGATGCATAAAAGTATTTTTAATCTTAAAATGAAAATTTCTTTGCATGACAGATAGGAAACATGTAAAAAGAAAAAAAAAGGACATAAGAAAAACATTGCTTTATAAACTTTAAGACTTAATAAAAAAAAAATTGATATTTTGCATATGGAAGCATTGTAATGTTTACTGATAATCTGCCAAATTTCGTTAACATTTGTTATCTGTAGTAGTAGTATTACTTTTTTTTACTCAGTAATTAATTATTTTAATGAATAATTTGAAAATTACTCCAATTAATTCTGTCATAAACACCAATCAAGAGAGTACTTGGCTACCTTAAATATTTAGATGTAAAATGGTTTCTTCCCACAATTTGAAACTTAACCTAATATAACAGGAAATAATTTGAAACATAAACCACACAAACAGCTGAGAAAAAAGAAATTAAATTAAATTCATACTAAACATAAAATACATGTGGTAGAGCAAAGTTATGCTAACAAAAAAAAAGTTTTTTTACAAGATCTTTCCATACCCTTCTTTAATTAAAACCTATAAAATGAAGCAAGAAGATTTCTAACAAGTAAACATTACACTTTAAAATCAAGTGTAGGTATTTCGAAAATGAATAGTTCCCAGTAACTACTCATTACAACTTACATGTCATCACAGGTAATTTAGAATAAAACAACTCCTATAAAGTAAAAGTAACAAAATGTTCATAAACTTGCCATGTTACTCAGGCTTTTCAACAGAGAGAAGTACCCAGTGAAGAAATAAGATGAATCCACATTAACGGTAGCTCATTGTGATACTTGACAATAATTTTTATTTGTTAAATAAATAAAGGTAAACACTTCATATAAACAACTTAACTTCACAGAATTACAGCTGGTTAAGTTGAACTAATTAGCACAAAATTATTCATTGGTGATCTTAAAGTCTGAAACTCTCTGAATGGTCTTCATTCTCATTTGAATCTAATTAATGGTAATACAATGGAAACTTTGGGAATGTCAGAAAAGTTACCATAATAAAAAATAATTTAAAGCTAAAAATCTACAAAAGAAAAACACGTTGGTTTAAAATTAAAAATAAATTAACCTAAACTTTACACAATAATGCACAAGACACACAGTATATATAGTATTCCAAAATAAACTCACAGCCATCACACCACAAAGTGGATTACTTCTTTTTTTCCCATTAGCTGAATACCATACAAATTTTTAATATAAAATTCAGATTTATGTTAACAAGAACTAAAACTGATTGTATAATACCATTAATTTTTATAATGAAGTAATACTTTTCTACAACTAAATATTTTATAAAAATAGAATGGATTATAAGAACCTGCATAAAAATGAAGTGCCTTTGATGATACTTAATGACAAATGTTTAGTGTAGAGATAAAATAAAAAGAGCATACATACGCTGTGAGTGAGGAATGTTAGATCGAACGTGGTTGACCAAAGATTCTGCCGAGTTGGCACGCACAAGACTGGGTTTTATCTCTCCATTAGCTGTTGGAATAAGTAAACAAGGCAGTTTAGGAAACAGGTGTAATTAGTTGCTAAGTGCTTGGAATAATTTGTGCTAGACAGATTATATGGAAAAATATCAAAATCAGTGAAATTTTCATGTCTTATAAAGTAATATTTTTGTCATGCAGAGAGTTTCATGCTTACACGTAAGAATTTCTACATTAGTTATAACAACTACATCTACAACAAAAACTATTATTTTTTTATCATTTTCATAGCACATCAAATTTCTTTGTTAAGTATTTATTAGGTACAAGTTTATCTTATCAACAAAATGTAAGAGGCACACATATGAAATTAATAAGTATTTTCTTGGTGACATTTTTCACTAATAGTCCCACCACGTTTCATAATATGAAACAAAAATTCTGAAAGACTGAAAATATCTCAAGGCTTTAGCTGAGAAAATTTCTATTACAAAAAAATGCAAAAAAAAAAACCAAATTAATGTGAAAATAATGTTTTCTTTTTTAATTTTACAGTACTTAATGTCTAGCACCATTTTTTTCCAAAGTAGTATTAATTAACAAGCTAATATATATATTTCTATCCAGTAATAGCTGAAGTTATATACCAACTTATACAGCTACATCACTTCCAGTTTACCAAATTTTGCATTATACCTTTAGCTCCATCCTGACTTTGAACACAACCAAAAAACCCAAAAAAAATTTCCATTTCTTCCACATTTGGACTACCATCTTTATTCAAAATATATTTGTTTTTTTAAATTTGAAAAGATTTCATTGTGATATGTTTTTAAAAAACAACTTAAAATGTTTAATTTTTTATAGATTTCAGTTACTAAATCTTATATCTTCCTACATTCTTGTTTTTTCAACAAAGTTTTTATTCTATAAAACTGTGAATTTTAGTTTTCTTTAGATTTGAAAAACATAGCTTGAATTTTCATTTGTTTACTGACATATGCTAAAAATAAATTTTTTTACCATACCAAAATTATAAGAAAACTGACTTTTCTTTAACCGGTAATCAGAAAGTTTCAGTTAATATATGTAATATGGTTTAAATCCATATCATATTCATTTACAGTTATTTTATTTGCCTATTCAGTCACTTATTTAGGCTGATAAGGCCTAAGGTAAGCACAGCCTAATAAACAACAGCCTTGTCAGTGAAACAAAACTTGATATGGTCAAGTTCAAAACAAGTTAACTAAGCCTACCACATCTTGTTCCATATAAAATGTGTCTTTTTTCCTATCATACTGCAAAATTACAATTCAACTGAAGTATAAAATGATAAAGTAAGCTTTTTGCAATTTAAAAAATCACAACTAATTATGTTGGTTTACCACAAACATTTTCTTGGTGGGCGATAGAAGTAGCTTAAAGCTTTGGCTCTAAACAAAACCAGGAGTGCAACACAATTAGCCTTTTTAAAGTCCATGAAATAATTTAAATTGATTGAGTAACTTAAACTTTTCCTGTCACTGGGGACAGGTACTTTTGCTTGTTTTTAATTCAATGGTGCAATTTTGCCCTATGTGCAGGATACCTGTAAAGTTTAAAGTAAAAATCTTAGACCTCAGCCAAAGTTCTGAAATAAAAGTAAATTACATATTATATTATCAAAAATAATATCACTTGGGTGTTAAAAAGGTAAAATCCGTACCTCTCAAAGTTTGGGCCTTCACGGCAGGTCTTTTAGTAGAGCAAGCTACAAAGCAAAATTTTTGTTTTATTTTAGTGAACTGCTGTACTGGATTTTTTGTATATGCATACAGGAAGGAGCTTTAACAACTTCACAAATCAAAATGACAGTCAAAGAATTAATAAATTTTGAATAATTTTTAATACAAAAAGTATTCACAAATCCTTACATTCAAATCCTAGCTTAATCAAACAATGGTAATTCTATGACAATATCAAACATCCACTTAATCACAAAAATGTAATTAGTTTTTTAACTCATATTCAGACTTGAATGGTAGTACTTATTTGTTGGTAAATTTTTAAATGAACTGAAAAAGAATAGGTTTCCTACTACTACTAATACTTTTCATTAGAAAAAATGGCAGCAGTAGTTCCATAAAAGGTCAGGTTCTGATCAGACTCCAACATGACATAAGTGAGAATATCCCTGACATATGAAAGGAATGGTAATTTTTCTACAGTCAGGTTGTTATATAGCTTTGAATCAAACTATGACATCAAGTGTGGAATAAATTAACTGGAAAAAATCTAGCATTAGGAATACTTAAACTTTACTAACTAAAATTTATGTAATTAATACACTTAATAATATGAGAATTAATGATGAATAGATTTACAGCTACCAAACTTGAAAAAAAGTTTTATCAAGCCACATTATTCTTTGTTACGAGTGAAAAAACAAAAACAATATTCTTTGGCACAATGAAAAATAAAATCTTTTTTTTAATTTTTGGCTGACATTTCAGTAACACAAGTACCATCATAAGGGCTAGTGATGTTAACCGTGTTATCGAAACTAGTTAGCTAAAAATCTTTCCAATAAAGATTTTATCTTTCACTGGCCAAAAAAATATGCCATTTTTCTTTTTCCCTCTTAACATAGTAGCACAATGTGCCTGAAAAGAAGTTACAGAATATTCTTTTCCAATAAAATTAACTGACTTCCATTTCTCAAAGTTGACCTTTAAACAGGCAAACTGAGAAATTACACAACTCAGAATTTTCAAGATATGGACATCATGTGTTGGAAATAGAATCAAGGTTTTTTAGTATAATTTCTTTTCTTGTTTATACATGATTTTTAACTGTAGAGTAAATATCAACTAAAGAATAAAAACTACTGTGAACACATAATGGAGCTCCCCTGAAAAGTACTTGGTGATCTACAAAGACACAAGTTATTTACCAGTCTCTTGGTCTCTGTCCACACAGACTTCTCTCAGCTGGTGATGGTTATGTTCCTGTTGATTTTGATAATCTGTCAGTTGTTTTCCTTCAGGAAGCAGATATTTTTGTTTTTCTCGCTCTTCACGAGCTCGTTTATTACGCTGAAACGTGTCAGTGTTGCGAGCATCCAATTGAGCATGTCGTTTCTCTGATATACTTTGTCGACCAAAACCATCTCGAGTTAATGTAAACTGACTTTCATCATCTAATGAAAGTCTGATAGGAAAAAAAGAAAAGAAGTCACATAAATATCTCTAACATAAAAGATAAGTTCTCTCTTTTAATATTCTGATAAATGATTCTTTAAGCACTTAAACAAATAACATTTGTTATAAGTAAATACAGCAGAGTCATTTGAAAGTTTCATCACTCCATAACATAATTCTCTCCCCCTCCCTCTCACCACCAGATTAGGTCCTAAGCCTATAATTTCCTCCCCCACCAGATTAGACCCTAAGCCCGCTCAAGTTTGGCTATTTGCAGCTAAAATACCATTTGGTGAATATTTAAGTAATTTATGTTTATAATAACTCACCACAATAATCTTGAATAAAACTTTGATCACAGCAGTGTTAGAGCTAATCACAGATCATATTAAACTTTCAGTGATGATGTATTTTATTACCGTGATTTACAGGAACTTTTTCTTTGTCTTCGTAACCATCTTATAACAAACCTCTAAAGTTAAACTTGATACTTCAAATTCATATATCTCTTAGTTTTGAGAACAAACGTTATTAATCCAATTAGTAACGCAAAAACTATATCACAAATGTACAGAAACAAGTATTAAGTACCAAATTAGCCTTCAAGTAAACACTGAAAACACAAATGTTATAGAATTTCTTACAGATAATGAATGACTGATAAAACAATGTAAAATGTATCACTATATCCTAAATTGACTTATTTTAAGCAAATATGTAGTTAATACATACAGCTTGTTTCATATGAAAAGTTTTAAGATTGATGATAACACTAGTGATGATGTAAAACTGTCAACACTTCTTTAACTTCACTATACTCATTTTAAAGTTACAATTCTACAGTTATAGCATAGAGGAACAAAAAAAAATTTTAACTGCATTAAAAAAATCAAGAGACTGCACAAGTGATTTAAATTACATTATTTGAATGTTTAGCATAACAAACAATAATATAAACTATTAATTAGTAACAGCCAAACAAAAAGAAAACTTTGGGACAAACTGTTTAAAATTTAGTGTGTCTGAAGAAATTCATATTTATTAAGTCAAAAATATAATACTCTGTCAACTTAGAAAGAAAAAAAAATGCTGACTATTTAAAACAAAGTAAAGCTAGATGATACAATAAAATCTTTATCAAAAATTGATTTCTTGAAATTATCTACTTGTAGTTATTACCCAACTACACAAACATACCAAGGAAAAATAATTTACAGAGAAACAAGGAAAAAATAAAAAGGAACTTTAAACCTTGTAAATGTGACCAATGCCTTTCATATTCTTACTTACTGGCTGGTCATAGCTAATTCTTTATATCTTGAGTTAGATTCATCTCCATTTTCTAAATATTTTTTTTCTTCACTGTAGGTACCATTTTTTGAAGGGGATGAGAGCAAGTTATCGGGTGTTGTGGATCGACTTCTGGGTTTGGGTCGGACAGGACTTCCACCATAGGATGAATCCACCATAGCAGTGTCAAATGTTGGTAAGTTTATTGTTGGTGAAAGGTTTACTCTATTTATGGAAGAATCCTGTCCTATTTTGAGCCCATGTAATTCATGAAGCTGGTTGCCACCCCAGCTTTCATGGCTTGCTCTTAAGTATGATTCATTACGCAGCATATTTGATTTTGTGTCTAGCCCTGTCAACCTTTCAATAACAGGATTTTGACCCAATGGTTTAGATTCTTTAAAGTCTGCACTTATGCTTCCTGAACCATAATTATCACTAATATTAGACTTTGGAATGAATATCACTGTACTTTCTGAATTTTCACTGGCAGAATTATCTGGAGTAGAAGTTCTGTTTTCCAGTGGACTAGTGTATTTTTCCAGGATATCTCTATTAAGCGAACCATCATTAATGTTGCTAACAGTTGAATTATTCTGACTGGATGAAGATGGTAAGGTTCCAGGATCCTCATCATATGTAGCAAAAGAGGGTATTTGTCTTGCTATGGTCAGTGTAATGGCATCAGGAGCAACATTTGGGCCATCTCCTTGAACCATAGCACGCCGTAGCGTTTCCATTGCTTCAGTGTTAGTCATTCTTAATAATGAAATGCCATTAATTTTTATAAGCTGATCATTGGTGAGAAGCCGGCCATCCTAAACATCCAAAAGAAAAAAACATTATAGAAATTTACATAAAAGTTCCATCTTTATAGCACAAACTTATAACTTTTATCAAAATTTCCATTTTATTTTATTACAGTTCACCTTAAGTTCAGAATAAATATATAAATTTACAAAACAAAGCACTGGCAATAAAAAAGACTTATCATCAAAAATTATTATTCATTTAAAATAGTATTTTCTTTATAGATTAAACTTATTTCAAGACTTTATATTTATGCATAAATATATGAAACAAATCTTTTAAGTAATTTGTTTCTGACAATATAAATAAAAGAAAAGTTAAAACATTTTCTTTTATTGACCAAAAACAACAACTTTCAAACAGCAAAACAACCACATAAATTAAATTAACATAATCTCAATTTCTTTTGTGATACAGGTATTCCATGTTAATCAAGAGTCTTGTGTTTTCACTTAGTTTCACTATATAGTAAAATGATAGGTATTTAAGACTTACACATTTTGTCATTTATCCTTTAACTATGGTTTTAAGAATACAAGTTTATAGATACTTACTCTTTGTTATTGTTGTAAATTAAAATCATAGCTACACAACACATGTTCTTTACTATAACATTTCTGAATGTTGTTCACAATAACTTATTACTAGGATTTCCCATTTATAGTTCCTTATTTTACTTTCTGTTTTCTCCTTCATTTTTCTATTTAAAAAAACTTATATATTTTTTAAATAGTCTTATTACAAGTGAAAAATTAATGCTTTTGTATACAACTTTTAGAACAGAGGTAATGGAGAAAAAGAAACAAATTTCAGTTCAAAAATGATGTTATGAAGGATGACTAGAAGTACCAACCTTTGACGCAGCACCACCATGAATAACAGATTTAACAAAGATACCCAAGTCTATTGGGCCATTTTCAGTTGTCGTGGTTTTCCCTTTCACACTAACCCCTAAGCCTGCTGATCCTGTTTCATTTAATGGAATGTTATATGTCAGAATCTCTCTATGTTTCCAAGGGTATATTCCAAATTCATCCTCTAGTTGATCTGGTGGCTGAGCCAAAGGAAATAACATACAGTGTACGCGTATAAGAATATTTTTTCCATTGAAATGCACTCTATGTTAATAAGTAAATATGAAAAAGTTTTTTTTCTATTGTAAACAACCCAACTATGCATGGTAAGTTTTTTTATAGTAAATTTTTGTCTGTTTGTGTATGGAACACATTATGCTAATGCAATAGTAAATTGACTAACAACAGTTATAAGCATAATGAACATTATATTTAGAAAACATATTTGTAAATAAAAAATACATTGTACAGTTTTTCCAATAAATAGAAGACATTAAAGCTTTTTTGATTAAGTAATCCAATTGAAGTCTAAAATTGTTATCCAATAATAATTTATATTTTTCTGAAGTACTTTATAGTCTGTTTTCAAAAAAACTACAGATTCCTTTGTAACAGTTCCGCAGCTTTTAACCCATATAATTCTGCACCTGTCAGGCAAGCTTTAGCACTGCGTCTGTAGGAATGGCTCGAATTGTTCATCGAAATGGTATTTTGAATATTTTGCTTAATAGGTCATCAGAACTTTACAATACTATACAGTGTTTTCTTTTACAACAATATCTATGTATTGACTAAGTCACAAGTTCTAAGAATTTCTATAAGTATCATAGCAAAAAGTTTCAATTTTTTGTTCTTCTTTCTTCTGCTTCTTTTTTTATTACACAACTCAAAAGCCAAAACAATAGTGTCATCCAATTTCACTGAGGTTACATAGTTTCAAACAGAATACCTGCTTTTATAAGTATTATTAGTAGTAATTTTAAAGAATCATAATTCTAGTGTAAACGATGTTATCATTACCCCATGAAGTTAGCTTTCTTACAGAAATTTGGTGTTCCTTTAAAAAGCTTAAGTGGAGGGTAAAACAGGAATTACAAGCCAATAATAGACAAACAATAAATATTACAATTGGAACATCATTGTCTTTAGAATTTAGTTATAAATACAACCTTCCTATGTCTACTGAAACACTGCATTAAAAAAAACAAGCAAACAAGTAAAGAAAATACTTTTCAAAAAAAGATGGTTAATATCAATCTTTCAAAAACAATGCAAACAAGATAGTAGGGATGGCATTTGCATCACCCATACATAATAGCACAGGCAAGAATTAACATATAGCAATATATATATATATATATATATAAC